CTGGTTTAGGCTGGCAAGATTTCTCAAATACTCATGAGTGACGGATACAGGTTGTTTGAGGAGGTAGGGCCTCTACAATGACAGGATAGGGTGCGTTCACCAAGCACGTTCAAACTCTGGACTTACACTCATATTCTGCTTTTTCAACAGCACGAGGGTGACATGCTTGGACTAAAACTGTTTAATAAATCAGCTACATGTTAGTTATGTGAGTTTTTTTTTTTCATTTTTAAAGGTCCAGTGTGGTAACGCATTGAGGAGGATCTATTCCATCTGATTTCAACTGGTGCAATCCTGCAGCTGTCAGCCACTAAATCCTGAACACAAAAGTACCACAAAGTCTTCCATTCTGGTTCTGACGCAGTGAACCACCCTAAACCAATAAATGCGTGGATCAGGTTACAGAAACAAGCCCGGGATCCTCGGAGTCCATCTTAGCACTCGGCGTCGGTGCTGCCGTTGACCGGGGCGGTGCAGACGGCGGCGTGTGCGTCCTCTCCCGGATCGGCGTGTTCGACTCCGTTTGACTTGCCGCACTTCTCAGTCGCATTTTGATCATCCTCCCCCACACTGTGGAGCCGGGACACAAAGACGGGAAAGGTCAGAGGTTAACGACAATCGAGTAATTTAACCAAATATTGTGTATGAGCAGAATACTCGACATCAGTTGGTTCATTTTAAGAACGAGCAGATTAATCGATAGTGAAAGTGTGCTTCGTGTTTCTGATAATCCACCTGTTGAAGCAGCCATTGCTGACCGGAGACTCAGCTGTTTCTTTCTCGGACAAAGAGCTGCAGGACCTCCTCTCCTGCCAGGAGCCCACTCTGGGCTCTTTGCCCGTGTCGGAGCTCTTCCTTCTGGCCACGACGGGCCCCGGTCCTGACCCCCGTCTCTCTGGGCTAACCCTGGGGCCCGCAGAGTCGGAGGGGACGCTCAGCCCCCCCGGCCCTTCTGGATCCTTGCCCGAGTCGCTGCTGGTGCGCGTCCCGTTCAGGCTGTCCAAGGAGGAGACGTGGCTCATCTGGCCCTCCCGCTCATCTGGAGATAAAAAGCAGAAACATTTCCATAATAAACATTAATGCAACAAAGATCTGCTGCCAGATTCAAACCAGAACCTGCAAACTGTCCCTGATTGTCCTGATTTTAATTTAAAATGACTGCTGAAGGGGATCTTTAAACAGAACGTTTCACTGGTGCTCATTATTCACTATTGGGCTAACTGCTGATGTTATAGATTCCACCTTTACGAGATGAATTACTGTGTTGGGGACTGCTAATCTTTCCCTGCTCCAGCATGTCTTCAACCTCTGCTGGAAG